GGAAAAATATGGTGTATAACTGGAGGGAACATGTTCACACAAAGTGGCCCATTTCTGAGCCAAATCAGCTGAGACACATTAAATTGGACAGCAGCAGTGGGTGCAACCCATCTACACTGCTGTAAATCAACCCCTTCATGCTCTCTTCTGCACCAACTTTGACTAACTTCAACTAACAGATCCTAGTGTCATTATGAATTATCTGATAATCCACCTTTGGATCTCCTGCTTTCCCTTATCCTCACCTGCTGTAAACTAACCTTGCATTTTCTCCAGCAGGATTATTTGCAAACCACCATGGCTGTCCCCTCAGGTCCCTTCAGCTGTCACTTACAGCAGTCTAAAGGATGGGATAAGCTCGTTGCCTGGGATGCTATGTGGGAATATTTGACACAGCAGTTCCTCTATGGAGATAGTAAGCCAAGGGATTTGCCTTTTCTGGTGCAGGACACCATGGGCTATGATTGATCCTGCATCAGGAGGGAGGGGACAACAGGAGCCTGGTCTCAGGGAGGCTGTTCAGGGCTTTTGGGTTGCATCAGAACGCTCAGACCACAGCAGCCTGTGAGCTTTGCTGTGGTCCCTGTGCTTCCCAGAGGTCTCCATTGCACCTCCTCCTCATGCACCATGGGCAGACCATCCCTCTCCTCCTGGGCTTCTCCCCACCTCCAGCCTAAGACTCTTCTCCTACCCACCTTGATCACTTTGCTGCATGTTGGTTTTGCTTTATGAGCTACCATGAGCCTGGGGAAGACCTTCAGTGCTCTGCTTTCCATATCACAGGAAGAAGGCAGAGCCCAGCTGCTCCATAAGGGAAGATGAGAGCCACAGTGGGCAGTGTGCAAGTGAAGACACACGCTTGCTCGTGCCTTCCTGAGGCTCCATTGGACATGGAGTTTGTACACAGGAAAGAAAAAGTAGAAATACTTGTAAACACAAAGTTAAGTTCCTTTGCTGATGAAAAAGAAGAAGAAACTGAGCTTCTCTTTGGATTTTCATGCTTTTCACTTTCTGCCCTGTTGCAGTGCTGCACTCAAAAATGCTATATATAAAAAGGAAACCTTGTTAGAAAGCCATTAGGAAGAGATCTTCTAGTTATTGCTTTCCCCTTTCCTTACAAGTCCAGAGTGGGCTCCCCACTCTGTGTTTAAAGCTGTATCTGCCTGTAACTCACCCACAGCTCGGAGCACTAGACCTCCCTCCGCGAAGCACATGCACCGGCAGATAATCCAGATCAGTTTACCTCTGTGTACCTGGCAGCACGCTACTGTGCAGTGACCAAATATCAGAAGAGTTTGTGGTTAATTAGGATCAGATTAATCCCTGCTGACTGCCTGTCTCTGTGTAAAAAGGGCATTAGAGGTTAGAAAGTATTAAGCACCTTAAACGTCTACTTGCATAATGTAAAAACCTGCTGAAGATCCAGACTTTGTGCTTGAAAGTGTTGATGTGAAATTATTTATTAGAGGCATTTAAACATGCATCTTATCCTACTGAAGTAGGAAAATCCATTAAAAATTTTCCAGGAGGAAATGTAACAAATATTTGGCCATGGAAAATCATAAACCAGCAGCACAATGGAAACAAGACATCTACAAAAAAAACAAGGCCTTAGAGATTTTGAATATTATTTCCAACTTCTAAGAATTTGGTTCAGCATATGAAGTATAATTTTTGTGGCTGCAATAAAGCTTTTTCTGGGATACAATTGCACCTAGTTTTCCATTTTATTGCTTCCTATTTGTCATAAAAATACAACAGCTAATAGTTAGATAGCTTCATATTTACACCCAGTCTATGGCACTCCCCATGGAGCTGAAGGGGCTTTGTAGAAAAGACACATTTCCTTGCTCTTTTATGTTCAAATTATTTAACGCATTCCTGACACTAAAATGTACGTTATATTTTGTTGGATGCTCAGCTATCCCTAAGTGGTTATTGGACATGTCAAAATATGAAGAACTTCTGTGCTTTTCTCTTAATTTTATATGTAATAGTATTTTTAAATAAGGAAGGATCCTGAGGTTGATTTTAAACGCTGAGCAGCTATATAAATGGAGATAATAGTAGAAAGATTTTTAGAGGCAAGACAGACGAATAAAGGATCTACAAGTCTGTGAGAAATTTTCATATTTAGCCACATCTTCACATATGCTGATAGATCAGCGGGCTTTTTTCTTTCTTATTTTTTGTGACACATTTATATAAGCATTAGGGACATTTATATAATAACAGGATATTAGCTCCTTTTGAGGTCATCTGTTCTTGTGCCTTATTCCCCATTTACAGTCATAAGCTTCTCATTGTGACATCACCTTGGCGGCTGCAGCAGTACCTGTGATGTCACCAAAAGGGATTATGACCTGACGTGGGGAGTAAGCTGCCAGAGCAGATCAGCTCCTAAAGAATAAATGTTTTGTTTAGCCCTGCTAGCAGGGGGAGAAGGAAGCACCCCACCCACCCTTTCTCCTCTGCCTGTCATGGTCGGTCAAACGTTGTACACTTGAGCCAAGTTGGTTCTCTGACCTTATCCCCAGGCTGCAGGGAGGGTATCTGTGGGATGGCAGGCAGGATGTAAAAGCTGTGGCTCAGTACTAAGCCGGTTTGGCAATGTGGCTTTCAGCGTGGATCCACCTGGGCAGTTCAGGCCACAGGAGAGGCCAAACTGCAGCTGATGAACTGGTCTATGCAGTTCATAAATAACTCTAAATAACATTCTTCTGTGTTACCCACTCTGGAAGTTCCCATTTGATCTCACCTCTCTTGCCTACTCTACCAAATCCCTCTTTCTGAAAACCAGGCTTTTTATAGGATGTCAGCTCTGCAACTTCATAAATGTCTTCATCTTCTGTTTGGTTCCCTGTCATTTCAGCCAGATCAGTAGCAGAAATTGTAGTTGGCAACATGCTCATACGAGGACCTCTTCCAATGTCATTTACTTGGCATCATTTATTTGGCACTGTAGGGGACTGTGATAGTCAATTAGATAAGCATTTGGGGGGTATCTGAATGAAAATCAGCTTTTAACATACTTTATATTCCCTGTCAACAGTAAATGTACTTAAACTGTCAGCTCATGTAGTCATCTGGGAGGAAAATATGCTGCCACAGTGTTGCTCCCCACCTCTGCTTTTGGCACGTCTTGTCTGAGTGTGAATTTCCACCAGGCCCCATGCAGGGTACTGACTCTCCCAGAAGCATTTTAAACCTACCAGTACCAAAAGGGCAACTTTTGGGGGCAGAGGTGGCATTTCACAGACCAGCGAGTCAACTCTAAATGTGCTGATGCAGCACCTCTGAGCCACTGCAGGCAGCAAAGCAGCTGATCTGTGACAGCAGCCGCCCCAGGTCAGCTGTGCACTCAGGAAGGGTCTTATCATATATTCAGAGTCCACAGGGAAGCGACTTTACTGCTAAGATCTTCATATAACACTGCAGGAAATATATACAGAGCTGAGATTATCTCTTTGGAGCTAATGCATTGATTTTCCCAGAGTTTCTTAAGCCATCTTCCCCTATGAGATCCACATAGGAGAACTACTTGGACAAAATCTTCACTCTCTCCTCAATCAGCTTTTCTTCTTTCTTATTTTTTTAATTCAAATAAGCTTCATGAACCTAAAAAGAAGTGATCTTGTCCTTGTGATTTCTCAGCCCTTTTGCATTCTGCCTATTAAAAACCGTATAATGAGAACAGTGACCGTCAGTTACAAGACTGACCTGATTTGGGCTCTTATTCAGCCTACGCTTCTGCGTGTGGAAATGTGTTGCTTCATCAGCGTTAACCTCATTCGGTGAAAGAGGAACTCCTGTTTGCTGTGCTTTGCTTTGCTTTCCACCAGCAAAAGGCACCCTTCCACCCCCCGCAAAAGATATCACACAACACACTAGAAACACCTACCCTGCCACTTGAAAAAGGAGTTGACTCCAGCACTGATAGCTCACACTGCTTGTTAACTTAGTGCCTGGCTAAGTTTTGGGTTGCTCCCACTACCTGTCTCCAAAACTGCCCCTGGGTACAGTTCAGGGCTTGTTTATCCCAGGACTCACCCCAAAAGGCAGATCCTGCCCCAAGGTTGGGTCGCACACAGTCCTCCAACGCCAGCCCATCAGCCCTTGCATCCCCAAGGGTACCCATGTGCATAGGGCAGGAAACACTCATCCCTACTGTGATGTTGTAAAAATCACTGCTCCGTTATTCCACTTGCAGTACTAGAGATAGAGGAAAATGAACCCACAGAAATGTGATATTCACGTTTTAGAGCCATGGGGGCTGAAGGGGACTGAGAGCCAGGTGCTGCACAGTTTGGCACAGCCAGCCTGTGCCACTGCCCCTCTGCTACATAGCCTGCAGCCATGGGTAGGGAGGCTACCTCCAGCTGTGAGAGCTGCCAAAAAGCCTTTATCACTGCTAAGGATGCTTCTTCCTACCTGGAGCTGGGCAGAAGGGTGTGAGTAAAGCAGTCCTTAATGCCAGTCCTCCACTCCCCATCTGCATTGTGCAGGGATGGAAGCCGGGACCTGCTCCAATCCATGTGCAAAGAAAATGCTCTAAGCCTCGAGTTGCAACAAGGCTCCTTGTTAGATCCAGCTTCTGGGGGCTCCTGCAGGATGGAGACCCTTTGTGGGGCTCTGCACCGTGTGTCCTCCCCACTGGGCCTGGACAGACAGGTGCTGGCACTGAGGTCATCTGCTCAGTGAGGCCATGCCCTGCAGAGGGGTTACTGCCATGTCGGCACATGGAGCTTTGTCTGAGATGCCGTCACAGGGTCAGCTGGCTGGTTTGTCTTTTAATAAAGGCTCACAGAAATGATGCACTTCCCTGGACTTCTCCTTTGAAGGTGATCCGCTGCAGTGGCCATCCTTTGAGGAGCCAGATTCCATCCTCACGCCCCAGCGGGAGGCAGAGGCGGTGGCATTTTGTACAAGGCATGTGGATAGCAGTAAGCAAATTCCCTTGCACTTGCTCGGCTGGGTGTTTCAGGGCTCCGCAGCCAGCCGCCTTCCCGCAGAATAAACTCTGTATGAAATGATAATGGAAATTTTTCTTATCCTGAAATTCAGCAGAACCTTCTTCCTGATTGAGCAAATGTGTTGGTATCTTGCAGTGCGGGCTCTCTCCTGGAGATGTAAGCGAAAGGAAGCTGGTTTGAATTCAAGTTAATTTTCCCAGGGTTATGTCTCTTAAAGAGAGCAAGCACACAAAAACCAGATGCAGACAGAAGGCTAAATTCTCATTTATGAAGGGATGAATGTACAGTAATCCTACTGATAACAGGGTTGTCCTAGAGCGAAAGGAAGATTGCTGGAGACCAACCTGACACATTAAAGAAAACAAGAGGGTTCTGAAGAAGAAAACCTGCTTCTCACCTGGTGTTCTCACTTTTTTCTCTTCTAGCCTTTCTCTGGCCTAAATTCTGCTCTGGATTTCTGTGTAAAGTCATGAAGCAGGAGCCCAAACTTGCCAAATCCCAAAAGCAGAACTGCTTCCGCTTTCCTCTCAGCCGCCACGAGAACCAGGGTTCAGTTTTATTAATAAATCAGAGAAAACTCCAGTCTCCTGGGAGAAATATTTGGGGGAAAACAGGCTTCCAAAGAAATCTCCCTCTGCCCACATTGTCCATGTGGCCTGTGCCTTTCCCTCCAATTTCTCATCTCAGTCCTGTGACTTCTGGCTGTTTCCAGGGCTGAACAAACTCCTCACCTTCCTCCTCAATGCCACCACTGTGGAGACTCTACTGTGAGTCTGTTTTCCACAATCTCCATTGCCCCAAGGAGCCTCCCAGCCTGAACTGCCCCAACAGCTCCCCATTTGCTCCAGGACGAAACTTGATGTCGATGGTTTACATTCACACTCCTGTACCTGAGCACAGAATCTGGCCTGGGAAGACCTTGAAGTTCTGGAGAGCAGTTGTCTCTGACCATTTCTCTTTCGCTTGTCTCTGCTTTCTGCCCTTGTGTGTTTTTCACACCAGACATTGTGATGGCGTTTGTCAGTGCTCAGCCGTGGGGGATGCTTCAGCAGTCTGTCCCCTTGCCCACCACGATGGTCACACAGGAGGATATCGAGTGCCCCTACGGTAACAGTGCTAGCACACCGCAGATGCAGTTAGGACCTAATCCATCGGTGAAAGCAGCCATCACCAGCCGCTTCTCTCCAGCACTTTCTACCAGTTCTCCTCCTGGTTTGGGGATTTGCTCACACATCAGGAAGCTCTTTGCTGATTTTCTACCCAAAGAGTGGTGGTTTTCTTTGCTCAGTGAGGGGACAGAGAGGTTGAGCTCCCTCTGAAGCTCTCAGAACTGTTCTTGTAGATGCCCAGAGGAGCTCCAAGGAGGCACAGGACCATGAGCCCCAGCCTCCAACCCACACACTGCCGTGCTGTATTTACTCCAGACGTCCTCGTTTTGTGCCCTTCCTCATCACTTCCCTCACAGCCGCTCTAAGTTGTCTTAGTGTCAAGAAGCAGTACTCAAAATACAACTTCTACCTCTGCCCCCTTCTGTCTTTCAAGAGTTATCTTGGGGACCAATCAATTGCATTCCTTTTTAACATATTTTCTAGCAAATGATTTCATACATTTCCGTAATGATTGCCAGCAAATTTATCAGTACTTTCCTCAGTACCTTTTGATGCATATGCAGATTAAGACTCAAAGAAGAATGTGATGCCTAAACTAGGACACAGGCAAGTTTAAAGACTAGGAAAAAAAATCCTAAAAAAGAGCCAGAAACTCCCTTTCCCCACAGTGACGTAATCCTAATAATTCTGTAGGTCTAGGACACCTCTCTTTCTGACTTGGAATATTTGTAATTGGCCTATTTGGTTTGCAGCCCCCAGGTTATGCCCCAAACTACCCTCACTTGGACAGCTCAGCCTCTGACTGTCCAGGCTCACTGGGCAAGCTCAGTGTTCAGATTTACTCCCACATGGCACCAGCTTCTCCTCGGACAACCAGTTCTCGGTTTTGGACGCCACTTTGGGAAGAGAAACTTAAAGCTTAGGCTGCTAAAGTGAAGGGGCATGAGATTTTTGGATCTGGTCTTGATTGTGATAAATGTGTGGACCCTCTCCCAGTATTTTATCACTTGTTTTTTAGCCACATTTGGTTTTACCAACTCTTCCTTCTTTCTTACTCTACTATCATTTGTCCTTCTAGTAATTCATTAATGGATTTTCTTTTTATTAATTATATGTAAAGCTCATTTCTTCCTCCTCATGGATGCTTTGAATAGCATTGGACAATTTTTAGTTTTTTTAAGTCCTCTCTCCTTGCTGCCAACACTGGTTTTGCTGCTAAGATCCCTCCATAGCTTTCTTTTCCTGAATCAGGCACAGAGAGGGAGGGGTTGAAACAAACACCCAAATTTCTACATCTCCTTTTATTAATTATATGTAAAGCTCATTTCTTCCTCCTCATGGATGCTTTGAATAGCATTGGACAATTTTTAGTTTTTTTAAGTCCTCTCTCCTTGCTGCCAACACTGGTTTTGCTGCTAAGATCCCTCCATAGCTTTCTTTTCCTGAATCAGGCACAGAGAGGGAGGGGTTGAAACAAACACCCAAATTTCTACATCTCCTCTGTG